CAAAAATGCCCATGCAGCCAGCCTGTCGCGGATTCGAACCTCGGACCGAACTACCAGTGTTCAGCGTCTTTACCGCTCGGCCGCTGGTGGGCTCCTGGTGTAGATGAAAAGCACGTTCGGCTAGCAATTGGGAGTTCGAAACCCGGGAGTGCATCGGATATTTTTCATGTTTTTTGCTTTAAAAAAAAAAGAAAGAAAGAAAGAAACCAACCTAATAACTCTTCAAATTTAATTTATATAACTTTGTTACGGAATTTTTAAACAATATTTTTGATGCAAAATTTACGAAAAAAAAAATGATTTTTGATATATCCCGTAATGCTTGGTATAGTATTCAAAATTTAAAAATCACCTAAAAAAGGATTTTTAAAGCTATATCATTTTACATTTTCGCTCTCTCTTTTTATTAAATAAGTGTTGTATGTAATAATAATAACACTTTGGACAGAACAGAAATTCACAACACATTTTGGCCGTTTCGAAAGAAGTTTGAAACTATTACGTATTTGCCTGTTGAAGGGAAAAAAAAAAAAAAAATGTAACCCTTCTGTTCATGGCTTCCGCCCTACCCAGTTAAAAGAAATGCCGATCAAAAATACCGAATGTAATTCACATCAAATTTCTTTATTGAAATTAACACTAACACTTCTTCAATAACTATAGAATTCTGCTCCGTAACCTGAAAGTTATCGTCAAAACAAATCCGAAGATAACAGAAATAGCTGAAGACGTAGTTATTTGTTTTCTTTAGATTTGCTGTCACATTTAGCTGTCACGAATGTCATAACTTCTCAGCCTTCCTTTCGGTTCACCTATACTCTTCCACGCACCTGAGTCGGAGGTTCTGTTCAAAGTAAATATTCAGCTGTGTAATGTGTGTTTTCCTTTTTTATCCATATGGCACGTCCATTTCTGTTTCACTTTTCGTTTACCATTCTTTTTCCACCCAGACAGTCACTTTATTGTGAACTTCAGCTTTCTATAACTTTAACTATAACTTTGCTTTCAAATTTGAATATTTTATTCTATTACAAGTTAAATAAAATTATACGTTGTTTAACTATACTAAGGCTAATATCAAATAGAAGGTATATAATTGATATACATATAAGAATAATGAATGATAACTGCTACTTTAATTTGGTTGTCTACAGTATAGTATATATATGATGATTTAGTTCTGGATAAGCGAAGGCACCTATTAACTTTTTAGTCATGGCCGGAATAGTGATAAACATGGCAGACATACTAATTGCGTATTAGATGGAACTTTGGAAAACACAACTAGCTTGATAGCCACAACATTTCTTTATTTTTTTATGAATAATTTCTTGGACGACTTAAAATAGCTCTTCTTGGTTTACACAACATTATGGATGTTATACAGTGTGCCTATCATAAGAAAAGCTCTCGCCAGTTAGTCTGCAGCTTTATGTTGCCGTAGAAACGAGCCTTGACCCATTTTACTTAAGAGTGTCTTGAAGACGAATGATAAACTCATTTCCCCTCAGCCAACAGTCGCCAAAAACAAAATAACAATAAAGCAACCCTTTGTTCGCCCCTATTTGAAATATACTAGCCCTGTTACTGTAGCGACCGCCACCCGCCAGACATTGTGGCGGGCTGTTCTTCTCGTAGACAGACAGCTAGCGCCTCACAATTCTATATACATGTATCACATCTTTAAACAATAGATGAAAATAGCAAAGTGATTAATTACATGCTTGCGAAGAGAGAGCAGGGAAGAAAATTAAGAGAGTATTTCAGCAGCTAGGGTATTACTTCGAGTTGATCCGAACGGTGATTGGACGAGAGCTCTACAGCAGTGCAGATCATTGCAGACTAAGTGACACAGTACAGATTCCAGAACAGGGAAGCAGCCGAAATAAAATCAGGAATCAAAAGGGCTATTGCCCAATTACGTTAATTTGTTAGTAATTTTCTTTCATATTTTATATCTTACCTAAATGTATATGAGTGCTGCAAAATAGGCATCTGATTATTTACGCTCATCTATTGTGAGCCAGTGAACTGATGGCTGGGTTTGGCTGTCAACTGCCGGGCCATTAAGAGGGCTATAGTCTACGGTTCCTTATCAACTGAAAATCAGTGAAATGCAAAATTTATCCAAAAAGTGGTATACATAAAACAAATCGAAATATTATTAGAAAACGTTGTTTTTAAATAATTATCTTCTTTTCCTGATGAGCAGTGCGCTGCTATGATCTCAAAAACAAAGAATAACACTATGCTTTATTTTTATGCTGGTTGAGATCTGGATGTGTAAGGTTTTTTTTTATCTTCTCACCACGTACCTTTGCGTCGTTACGGGAAAGCACTTTTGGAAAGCACATCGAAAGATCTGGAACTCGAGTTCCAGAGTAGGCATTGCATATTTTTCATGTCTCCCTGCTTCGCCGCTTAGACGGAATAGCGGTAACTCTGACTACCGTACCGAAGGGCTGAGTTTCGAGTCCTGAAGAAGGCATGGATGTTTAAGCGGATAGTTTGTCTGCGGCAAGGGAGTACTCAAAAAACACGGCGAGTCGCAATCTTCTCGAAAGGTTGATGGTAGGGAAACAGGGGAGGGAGAGCCTCAGACAGCACCCCCACCCGGAGGTTCTCCTACAGAATTCCATCCGGGCGGAAAGCTTTCATTTAATGAAGTCCAGCGATACCTGATATACCTACTTAGATGCACAGGCGCCGACCTTGCTTCAGTCTGGACCTGTTTCCCTGCTTTGACAAACCTAACAGACTGCTCGCCCTTTGAATGAAGAAGACTGCACTTTTTCTCCCTTCGTACTGCTTACCGTTATAATGTAACTGAAAAGCTCTGCCGCCTAGAGTCGAAAGGTCCGGAGTTCGAGTCCTGAAGAGGGCATTACATATTTTTCATGTTCCCTTGCTTCGGCAAACCTAATAGATTATGCAAATGAAATGAGAATGAGAATTCATTAAATTCCAGAAGGATGTCAAAATGGGAAGTAAAAGTTTCACTGGTGAGAAAGGATTTTAAATCACTTTTATATCATGTGATTATTTTATTAGTCCTTTTTTTTTGTTTTATAATTGATAGGTATGAGATATTAATTCTCAAGAACTCTATAGGAACGGGGAAAAATATCCACATTATTCCTTATATACGTAAGTGTACATAGTACTGCGAAAAATTAAATTTTAAATTTGTAATATTACAAAAAATCAGCATCATTTTTCAGAGCAAAAGAGATTTTGTAAAAATATTTGCATGTTAATCTAAGACATCTTAAGATTCGCAGTATTTCATTTTCGTGAGCTTTTCAGTACTTATAATTAAATTCTTAAGAAAATTAAGATAAAATATTAGAAGAGGCTGCATAGGTTTCCGATGCTATAAAATATAATTAAAATTTCCTTAAATTTTTAGTATGTGACTAACGTTGCAGTACCTTTAATTAATTATATCATGTTATAAATAAATAGAAAGCTGTAGTACAAGACAAATATGTTTGTGAATTAAATTGATTAAATGCAATAAAATGTGTATTTTAATAAAAAAAAAGCAATAAAATTTCTTCGGATTAAATGCTAACTAGTTTAATAAATCCACTGAAAGTAAATTATAACATCATTTTTACTGACTTTTTTCCGACAGGGAAGGGGGTTGATTTAAAAGTGCATATTTTCTTTTTTTCACATATTTTTTAATTAAATATTATATAACACACAGTTTTCTGATATGCTTTATTAATAATATGTATGATTAGACTTTTTGATATCGCTGAATTTGAATTTTGCTTTTTTTAAGGTTAAGTATTTAATAGTAATTCTAATAGTTATTTAATAATTTGAATTATATATTTTTTAGGTTTTTATACGTCTTTGTAAGCGTCTATGAAAAAACATATAAAAGGATAAAAGTGTGAGCAACAGAAACACAAGGATTAAAGATTAAATAGGTTAAATCGTTGATACGTTGTCAGGGTAATTGAAAATGTTTTCTTAAAAACCATATCCGCCTTTTGTTGCCAGAACGATATCTAACGATGTCCAGACGCATTTCCAAATTGATTTTGAAAGTCTGATAAAGCCTGATTTGCTCGTATTTTGAATTTCGCAGTGTTATTAACTGCGATACCCAAAATTTGTCACTGATAAGGGAAGAAAAATTGAAATGATGAGATTAAATTATAAATGAAGAGATCCAAATTATCTGCAGAATATAATAATGCCATAAGAATGTACCAAATCCTACTGTTAGAAAACTTCCTATTCAGATAGTTTTAAAAAATTTAAAACATTTATTTTAATTGTTGTAGTAATCTTTGTGAGCTTTTTATGCCTACTATTTTTTCATGATTCATTTTTTAAATGAATAGAGGACTTTTAAATCACTTTATATGTGTTTAATATTTTATAAACTGATTTAAAAATTAACGAATGCCTCAATCAAGTTATTAAGAAATAAACCGTATTTACTTGCATATTTTCTCTCCTCTCGCATTTTTCCCCGTAGTTTTTTCAGCGTATGATTTAGAAACTTCTGATTTATGGTGACAGTGTAAAAATATTTTGTGTAGGTTAAAAAAAAAAAAAAAGTATTGTTGATATTGGTAAGCTCTTTGAAGTACATAATATAATAAGAGTAGTGTGTTTTTATGTGTGCGGTGATGTATGTGCTATGTTTATTACTTAAATCCGTCTGTTTAGAAATAACATACATCGCGTATTTTCCTTCCCCGTTTCCAAGCGATAAAATTAGTAGTAAAAGGGGGTACGAAATACACGAGTAAATACGGTATTTGTTACGTGAGTGATATATGAATTAAAATGATGAGTTTAATTCAGTAATGACTTTTTCATTTAATTATATTATTAAATCAATATACGTGTTATTTTTCGGCATTCATTTCGCAAAAGTTTTTTGTTCTTCTATATCATTCACATGACTTGTAATTTATTCATTCACTGTGCTTCGCTGCTTGAAATCTTATTTTTTCTTTTCCATTTATTTTCAGGTGATGTATATGTCTGAATAGTGAATGTGATGGTACTTTTAGAAAACACAGTGGTATGGTATATTTATTTATTTACACTTCTTTCCGTTTTCTTCAGTTTCAAATATGGGACTATCTCCCCCCTCCTTTAAATAATTAAATGCTTCCCAGCTTTGTGAAAAATTAACCGTTTACTGTTATCCGCGCTATTCAATTGCAGTTAGAATTTTATTTATTTATTTTTGTTTCCTATTACATTATTATTTCCTTTATTACTTTTCTTTATTTATTCATCACATTCTGTATTGAATTACAATCTAGTTAGAGTGTAAAATATTACTTTTAGATGAAGAAAAACTATATTTTTATATATTTTTCACGGCAGTGACCTGTCGCATCTATCTGACACATATGTTTTAACAGATAGAGTCATATGCAGATGGAGGACAAAATAATGCGAACACCTGTGAAAAAGTATGACGTATTTTACACCTGCAGTACAGCCGCGCCACCTGAAACGGAATTCTGCCACCTAGTGAGCGTGAAGAAGAAGGTATCGGTCTTTCAACAGCAGTCACCCACGTTGCATGCTTCGATCGAACTGTCTATGAGAAGTTGAAATGTCAGACCTGTCAGAGTTCCAAAGAGGAATGATCGTTGGAGCGTGTTCAATTGGAGCATCGGTACGGAAACAGCAAACCTTGTGGGGTGTGCAAGGAGTACGGTATCAGCCGTTATGACAGCGTACACGAAAGAGGTAAGACGACGTCTTCAAAGCACAAGAGTGGCCAAAAGTCAAAGCTGGCTACTAGAGATAGACGAGTCTTGAAGCGCATAGTAGCCCGAAAGCACAAGCAATTGTTATCCGAGATAACATCCGAAATTGAAAAGTCATCTCCAGGACTCCGTTTCAACAAAAAACTGTCAAAATGGAACTTCATGCTGCGAACATTATGGCAGAGTGGCAATTCGTAAACTCTTTGTGACAGCAACTAATGCTTTTAAGCGACGCCAATGGTGCAGAGATCACAAAGGCTGGCTCCCCACAGCAGTGGCAACAGGTAATATGGTGAGATAAATCGTCATTTAGCCTATTTCAGACGACCGGATGCGTTTATGTCTGGAGAACGCCCGAAGAAGTGTTTCATCCTGACTGCCTCTTGCCGATTGTGAAGCATGGGGTTGGTGTCATTATGGTATGGGGTGAGATATCTTGGCGCGGTCTTGGGGCCACTTGTTATTCTGCATAGGAGAATCACATCCAATCACTATCTAAGTATTCTAGGGGATCATGTCCAGACTGTATTCCCTGGGGTGCGACCGCTTTTTCAAGACGACAACGCCCCTATCCACACTACTAGGAGTATTCAAGAGTGGTTCGAAGAGTATGACGATGCAATTGAAAATCTCGCTTGGCCCCCCTCAGTCTATGAATGGTCCCCCTCAGTCAGTGAATATTATTGAACACTTATGGGCATATTTGGAGTCCAAACTTCGTTCCCGATTTCCACCTCCATCCGGACTTTCGGTATTAGAGACTACTCTGCAGGAGGAATGGCTTAATATTCCTTTAAATATTGTCCATGACCTTTATGCATCTATCCCACGTCGCATTCAATCTGTACTTCAGTCAAAGGGTGGTCCAACCCCCTATTAATAAAGATTTTCCATTATTTCACAGATGTTCGTATTATTTTGTCCTCCATCTGTATATATATATGTTTTTGATGAATATTTTCTCAGTCCACATTCATAATGAGATACCTACATTAATTTCTTAAGTTCTTTCCCAGGGGAGGAAGATCCTCCACTGGTTTCGTTCAAGCCAGAAGATTTATGCAAATTCCGATATGTGAGAGTAACATTTAAATCTGTAACTTACATCTCATGACTTAGATTTGTTTCCTTTTCTAGGGGGCCCATTAGCAGCCGAGCGGTGTAAAGTCGCTGAACAGTGGTAGTTCAGTCCAAGGTTCGATTCTCGCTAATAGGCCGGCTGCATGGGCGTTTTGTGGTTTTCCCTTATTTAAACGTGTAGACGAGGCAGTTTCCCTTAGAAAGTCCTCCACGAAGGCATTCCTCTTCTTAGGCAGATAGCCCTCGAGTCTTTGCGGTAATCACATAAATCAGACCTTTTCTAGGGAAGTGCTCATCGCTTTGTTTCTCCTGCACTTTTCAGCAATCCCGAATTCATAGCCATTTGGCAAACGAACGTACAGGATGATTAAGTCCAGAATGTCCATTACTGATGATGTAGATTTATTTAACATCAGATTAGACAGATGTCTGGTTTTGCACCCGCTAAGTCGTCTTTCTGCACCGATGGACGAAAAATCAAGCTTAGGTGCGAAGAAAAGGTATATAGAAAGGGGGCAATTTCGTATTTCACAAGAGAGTCAAAAGGAACTTCATGCATTTTAGAGGTGTTCGAAAGGCCAGGAAGAAAAGATGGGACAAAATAAAATTAAAATAAATGGCCTAAAAGTAATAGAGAATAAAAAGAAAAGTAAAAGAAGTAGAAAATATCGTAAAATAAAAAAACGTTTCTTAACTGGATTTACTCCAAGGACCGGTAAAATATTTCGATACGTTATCGCGGACCGGCAAATATTTTTTGCGGACCGGCGGTTGAGAAACACAGTCCTAAAATACGATTGATTCCATGAGTTGTAGTCAAAAGAGGCGGAAGCTGTGTCCATTTACATTAAATAGTGTCTCCCAGGGGTGTGTAATGAGTGTGTTTGGTAGAGCTGAATAGATGCGATGATGGGGGAAAAATAAAGATTGAGGGATCCGGTTACATAATAATTTAAGTCTAGTTGAGAAGCTAACTTATACAAAGATGTTATGATTCTGCTTTGCGATCGCTGCGCCTTCATGGATAATAGAGTGTATGTGTCTTAAACTGAGAAACCTCTGAATTAGAAATGTAATGCTAAGTGTAATTGAGCTAGCTATGAGCGTCGGCAAGGCCAAAAATAAGGTAAAATGATGTAAGAAATAATAACTACATTCATATAAATAGGTAAAAATAATATAATAGGTAAATATATATATATATATATATAATTTAAATTAGAAATATATAGATACCATAGCATAATTATATAAACAAGCACGTTAAGGAAATCATATTTTTATAACAAGTAAAATTCAATTTAAGAAGCTAGCCTTTTGATATAAATGTTACATAGTATAAATACATATATCAATACATATATAAATAAATATCGTCACCATGGATAATAGAACTCTCTTAAAATCAGATTTTAAAATATTAGTGGAAGTCTGAAGTTAAAGTTACAGATAAACTAATAATGTAAAATGAGTTCAATTTTTAAATACATTTCAGGAAAATTTCTCTGTAAAATGTCTTACGAATCCCCGATGAAATAAAATTCGGTGCTTTTTTCGCTACTGTTTCAATTTGCTAAACTTAATTTTTTTTTAAATTAGTAAGAGCAATAACTTTTTAAACTGGAATAAAATTTAATACTTATTTAAAACTGATGGAAATCTTACACACGTAATTTTTAATATTAAGGCTAGCTATTTTTCAGTTATAATAATTTTTAAAACTGTTAATGTAAAACATTTGTTTGCGTAACTTCCCAGTTTAACTCTATAGAGAATTCGACTAAAAGATCATGTGCCTTGTTTCCATTCCTATATTTATACTTCATTCTAGTCCATACCCTTATTTTATCATATATACAAATTTTAAGAATAATTAGATATTATTATTTTTATTAATGAATTTTTATTAAATGTTATATTTTCATATTATTTTCAGTATGCATTAAATTTAAATAGATAGATTTACTCCAACCAGAAATTTGTACTTCTCTCTCCTAACAGGATATGGAATCTCAAGTGAATATGGAAGTAATTTATGAGATTATGTGGGCAGACGATGAAGAATTCGAAAAGGCCGTGCATGGCTTGGATTTAAGAGTGAGATATAGTTTTCTTTTTAAGATACTAATATCTTTTCAAACAAATTGTTTTCACTCTTCGGCTGTAGATGGCAGCACTATACCTTCTGTAACAACAGTTGCTTGGGAAAAAATTATTATTATTTAGGTGTCCAAACCCGAGTTTTTCTCATCTCCTTTCCTAGCGCATCTGCTTTCATGCATGAATTAAGTCGTTGCTTAAAAATATTAATGAAAACCTTTAAAATAATAATTATAAATTAAAGAAATATATATGTTTTTTTAAATATTAAAGTCAAGGAAAGGAGAAGAAATAAATTAATTATATATAGAAGAAATAAATTAATTATGAAAATAAAATTCCCAATGAAAGAAATGAGTAAATACAATTATTATTATTATTTTAATTTTAACGTTTATTTATTTGTTTGACAGTGTAAGCATATTTTTACATAAATACTTAAACATATATAATATTTATTTTTATACTCGAGAGATTAACTTTAATATCAATTGTATGATTAAGAAATAGCTAATGATTATAATATTGTACCCGCTGTGTAGATATTAAACTTACTTTTAATATATATGCGGCATTAGATTTAGTCGGAAAGTAAAAAAATTCATATTTGTGGATAATCACTCATGAGTGTAAATAAGTCGATAGCCCACCAGTTCGAATCCCGCGGACGGGCTGGCTGCATGGGCGTTTTCGTGGTTTTCCCCATGCGTAACGTGTATCCGAGCCAGTTTCCCTTAGAAAGTCCTCCACGAAAGGCATCCCTCCCTTTAGGCAGATAGCCCTCGTGTGCTTTGCCATAATTAAATACACCAACACCAAATAAGTCGATAATATTCCGAAACTGAGGGCTTTCGAAATATGTTTATTTTCAACATAGGAAATATTGGTTAAAGGAGTAATCCGTGGGTATTGTAGTTTTTAGATAAAGTACTAAATAATACCGAAAAAATTCTTAGGACATGCATCGTTATGCAGTGGAAAGGTCAGCGGGAAAATAATAATGATAATAAAAGAAAAATTGGAAGCCCTAAAAAGTATAAATTAAGAAAGTAATTATTATTCTCAGTAATCAAACTTTATACAGAGAAATGCCTATATTTAAAGAATGAGAGAAGATATTAAACATATTACTGTTTTCCTTACTGTTATTTTTGGAAGTTATAATTGATTATCTGGATCATTCTTTCCTTATAATACTGTAGCGAAAAATCTCTTCATTTTTCATTTTTAGAGAGTAGTTTTACATTGAAAATTTAGAAACCATATTACAAAGTTTCTTAAAATAACATTTCATGAACATATTTTCTGCACTCTAGATAAAAATCCTTCTCCAGATTTAAAATTTAAATTTTGATACTGTATCCGTATATCAAAAATTCCGATAAGTTAAATATGAATTATACTTTAATTAGTTTAAAACGAAAAGTTTAATTCTTTTGAAAGCAAAATTAGATGAAACAGCTTTAGTAGATATTTTCACCCAAAATAAAGGGTACATACAAGTTTAATGACGTATTTTACTCAAGGTAAAACTTTTATTCACTAAAACAAGTACCTTTTGCAATTGCTTCCTAATTTGTTTTTAAAAGCCCCAAATTTTGAATCTTGAACTACTCAATAAGTTCGCTCTCAGATGTCTTTGCTGCTAACCTTGCAACGACATTTGCCGTGAATGAAGTAGGTACAGTAAGACTCCGCTTAACGCGGGGGATACGTTCCATCAAAGTAGAGCGTAATGCGAAACAGCGCTAAACGAGGCTATCTTTACATGTAAATATTGGGGTTAGGGGAAGATGGCTAGGAAATTGGTTAGGTATTAAATTTAAAAAGTATGTTTTTTTAATAAAAATAAAACCAAACATTTATTTCTTAAAGCCCAAATTAATACCACATTATTATTTCTTGCAAAAATAAAAACAAAATATAAATAAAAAAATGAATATTCTTAAAAAAAAAAAAAAAAAACAAATAAAATTCTCAGTCATATTTAGTTAGCCTTCCGCGTTTTCAGTGTTCTGCCTTTTTGTGACAAAAGCATCTAATGTTGTTTGCCTTTTTCTTTTGCGTTGTTCTCTTAAAAGTTCTTCATAAACGGATAGAGCATCTCTAACACCACGCCTTACTTTTGAGCTCCTGTCAAAATTCGGATCATTTTCAATGAATTGATCCATTATTTCAGTTATGGTTGACAAACTCCTTTTTACAAACGCCATCGAAAGTTCTTTTTGCTCTTCTTCTGAATCACTGCTGTCAACAATTTTGTTTTCTTCTTGTTCAGTTAATTCCTTGAGCTCATCATTAGAAAGACTAGCCGCTGCTTCTTGAATTATTTCTTCGACATCTTCCACATTTACCCCTTCAAAATATGTCTGTACAATACCGCACCAAAACAAGAAATACAAGTACACTCTTTCGGATATGTATTTGAAACCTATCGCTGCATAATATTTCGGGGAATCCCCGTATGCTGCGAGCGATTTCGTGGAATCCCCGGGTTGAAATAAAAGAGCGCTAAACCGAAACAGCGCTAAACGAAACAGCGTTAAGCGGGGTCTTACTGTATTACATAAAAGTTCAGTGGAAGCTGGCTTCGCTCGATTGCTAAGGCGACAGCCTACGTAATCTTGGAACCCGAGTACCGTCCCCAACAAACAAATTTCTCTACAACCATATCGCACTATGCCCTAGTCACAGATACTACTACAAAAGATTAAAGAGGAAACGATAATTAACATTACGTAAAAAAATATGAATGAAGCATTTTTTTACCTTATGAATATTTTACTAATGTTAAAACTTTTATTCAAACGGGCGTACCCAATGATTTATTACCTTTTTGTGTTAGTGTTATTATTCAAAGTGTTATTACCTTTTTCACAAAATTCTGCATTTTTTTTTAAGAAGACTTTGGAAGTGTATGTCTAGGATCAATGTTTAATTATTTAAGAAAACAATCAATTAATAGTCACATTTTTTTCCTCGGACTCTTTAAACATAAAGACCGATGCATATTTTTACATGGGAAATTACTTGAAATTTTTCTTCCTTTCTCTCTCTCTCTTTTCGCCCTTTTTTTTTTTTTTTTTTTTTTTTTTTTTAATAAATTACGATTTTTTTTTACAAGCTTCATTCTTAGAGTGCTTTGCTTTTCAGAATTGAAATGCGTTGCTCAACAGAATTAGGGAAGCAAGCGATTTAGCAATAACAGATAGCTGTTTGTAAATGTGAAGCGTAATATTAAAAAAATGAAAAAAAGCAAGATAATAAAGCTTCGATCAACAAAAAATTGTGTTTTAATGTAAACAAAGAACATTTTTTCAGAAATTCATGTGATTCCATACAAGTCATTATTACCAATACCTTCTGGTGAAGAAAAATTAACATTGACGAATTTTATCAAATGTCTGAGACCTGTGACTTCCTCGAATATGTAAGACGGCTTTACATCTGCAACGCATTGAATTAATAGTCAGCCGATTAGCTTTTGGCGAATTCTTCTCTACTATTCAAAAAATGCATTTTGCAACCAAAGCTGGAGGTTGTGGTCCAGCCACAATGCGGCTGCCTACTATGTCCCAAGCATATTCTATCGATTTCAAATCCAGGGAACATGCCGGGCGCCCATAAGGTGCGCTTTGAGAATGCAGGTGTTTTCATGCTGAAAGAAGGCCTGAATCACCAATGACCACGATGCAAACGATGCGCGACCACGAAAAGTCTAAGAATTTCGCCCCTGTACCTTTGAGCAGTCAGTACTATACAGGTTAGAATGTCCACTTAAGTTTATCCCTATACAAACAAGTACATCACATCCAGGAAAACGCAAAAATGCTAGACTGAATTTGGACTCATCAAAGAGAAGAATTTGTCTCCTCTCTGTAGGTCTGCTATCAGAATTCTGTAGGTCTGCTATCAGAAGTTCTTCAGCCCAATTTCTTTGGGTCCTAAAGATGATGGAAGGTCACTGGAGCAGAAACAGCTTACTTACGTGTATAGAATCTACACGCGTGAAGGCACCTGCGAGTTGTTTCTGATGATAATTCTTTTTCCATTTTCTGCAAAAAGCTGTTGCTGCTGGATGAAATTCTGAACTTGTTCTGAATGATAGTTATTCACAAATAACGCCACGAGCAGCCCATAAGCGACCTTGACTTAGAAATTTTCGAACATTTCTTATCTCTTGGAGACGACTCCCCAGGTGACAGGTGAGAGCAGGTCCGGACACCCGGACGGCTTACATAGACTAGTCGGGTATAGTCAGTACCTCCTATAAACGAAGCCACGGCACGCCGCACACTACGTCACTAAAGTCGTCCTTATGTACAGAAAGCATGGTTGCCACATGAAACCACTTATCGCTGTTATTCCTTTAAGAGGAGAGAAAATGAAAAGTAGTTTTTATTTCCTTGCATAAGGCTTACTATATCCTTTGGTTTTAAATATATATATATATATGTGTGTGTGTGCAAATATATATATTCCGATTTGATTTCATCGACTGCATTTTCTAATTTCAAATACCTAACCTTACTTTCCTTATATATTTTTATGCTTAAAATAATAACAGTATAGTAAAAAAAATTAATTCAACATACTTCAGATTAGTAGTAATAAATATATACTGAATATCTGGCTGATACTGGTTTGCTTTCTGAAGAAATATATTTTATTAAATATTTTCTTCCTTAACAAAGAGGATAACGCATAATTAAGCAAGTTTACAATTGATTAACACTAAAAATCCTTAAATTAATTTTAATCAATTTTTAACGGCATTTTCTGTTTCTCATAAATACAAATTTACACATAATTGTTTAGTCATTTTCCGCTTTTTTTTCACTTCAGTGTGGGGACTGAATTTCTTAACAGATGAGAAACCTGGAGAATGATTTGAAAAATACTATTTTTTAGCATCTATCAATATTTATTCATTGGTAGTTTTAAAATACGGTAGCAAAACATTTCATATATTTAGGCATTTTAAATTAGATCATTAT